TGCATACCGCTGTGGATTTTATGATTTTTATTGGAGTTTTTTTTTTTATCTATGTGATATGCTTTCATATAATCTGCTTTATTTATTAAATTACTTTTAATTGTGTATTATCTCGTTTCCTATTTTTTTTTATATCATTTAAAAAATTAAAGGCTCTGGACTCTTCGGCGCGATTTTCTGTTTGAGTTCTATATATGTTTTTCTTATCGTTTTTTATTCTACAATTTTAACGTGGATATTAGCTTCAGTTTTTTTCCCCTGTTTATTTAAGTCTCAGCTTTTTATATTTTTTTGTAAATTTTCGACTTCCTTGCTTTATTTTTCTGAATATATATGTGCATGCATATATATATATATATATATATATGTTACATTTGTATTGTTTTTATGAGTTAAATTTTTATCCAATAAAATTCCTTCATAAATTTCGATATTCTTTAGCTCTTTCTACTTTTGAACCTTTTGGTTTATAATAGTATTTATGCAATTTTTTGAATAAAACAAAATTACTTCGGCTGAAGGAGAATATTTGTTGTCTGCTAGTTTCCTGAGAATGACTTCCTGTTCTTTAGATCAAGAAACGTGAAATAGTGTTCTTTTCTCTTTCTCTCTTTCTATACATACACACACACACATATATATATATATATATATATCATTAACAACATCCACTGCACCAACGTTCTTGAACGGTTGGGAAATTTTCAAGGTGAAGGAAGATAGATTTTTAGAGATTTAGTGGAGTCAATATTGTTTGACATTTTATTAACGATTGAATTGAGTAAGCTACCGTTGGTGTTGTTGGCACTGTTTCCGTAGGTCAACCAGATTAGGCAAGGAGGAATCTGGGAAGGGGTGTGTGGCGACGTGTGAATCTTATTAGATTTTTGTTCATAAGGGACAAGGCCTTTTATTTGTTTGATTAGGACTTGTATATTTCCACTTTTCTGTGCATCTTCCTTAAGTGAAGAGGGAAAATCAGAGCGAGGGTCTACAGTTGAGATTTATAAAATAGACATCAATATACCTCGTTCAGGTACAGTGTGGACATAGATATTGTGAGTGTGTTGGTATTATTTTATCAACCCACACAGTTAACTGAAAGAGTTTTAAATACATAGGTAATTCGAAAACATATTCAAAGGAAGCTTACTCATACAGTATTTTTAAAAGTACAGACCCACAAAACTCATTACAAGCCACTTTAAGTTTTTTTCGCCTTTGTTCGAAGAAGGGGAGCACTTCAAGAAAAAACGAAGGGTGTTGTGGGTGCATAATTTGTTTGTCTTGTACAGAAATCAGTAGAACACGTTTACACAAAATAGCTCTGTTTATTATCATTACTTCAAAGGAGATTGTAATACAATTAAATTGAATAATAGTACGTGTTTAAAACCACTTTTTGGAGTTCTGATTACTATCAAACCATCGCCGCGGTTTGAGGGTGAAGAGGGTTCATCACAGAATTACGCCGCCGCTGTAAGCAAGTCTGCCACGCTCACACTATCTACTAATAATATGAAGCCCTATTCACAATACACTAGCGGTTGCTCCAAGATATTTCTTGACGACACCTACAGAGAAACGTATAAAATATTTCAAATCAGTGAGCCGACAACCGATATGGCTCTACTGAAATCCACTGCTACTGATAAGATAGAAAAATTCCCCTCATGTAGTGTAGCATTTTCTTGTATTAGTACATTGTATCGTTTACTATTGTTGTTTTTCTCTTGGCTATTCGAACGAGGATCTAGAAGAAGTTGTTCTGTAGCAGCATCCCAGCTCTCCCGTAAAGTATTGCTGTTATTAGTGCTAATGTTGGTTGCCACATTACCGACTGTGGAGGCTGTCATGAGTTTCAATCCAACCAATGTTATGCAAGCGTCTATGTACCAGACTATTCAACTCAGGCTTACGAGCAACCCTCTTAAAGGGGACCCACCCATCGTCAACAATGATGAGGTTTATCTTTTTATAGATCCAGGCTCTGATCCGGCAACACAATGTCAGTACGATCTAGAGGGGCAACCACAGGGGGTGAAGCACTTCAAAGTTACGGATGCAGACAGCGAGGGCTACCTGGGCTACGTCGAATTGCCTATACTTAGTAACATGTTTTCTGAAGGCTCTAGCTACGTGCTGTGCTACCTTTCTCGTGGTTTAAAGACTGCAATAGTCCTTCGACGACCAAGCGACAGCTCCGGTAGTACTGCACTATTGATATGGCCGCCGCTCTATAATCAGTACAATCTCTTCCCTCCTAGCGCGAGCGGAGGTGAGGGTATGGTTGACTTGTCCCTCTCTGAGAACGAGCTACCAAAGGAACGTCCCCACAATAAGGCGTTTCACAAAAGTTTCACCATTTTCATTCCATCCTGTGTCCCTGGATGGAACTGTACGGATCTAAATGCACTAACCATAGCCTGTGATGCCGTCGGCAAGGATCTGGAAGAAAGAGGATCTGTCGATGGTGTGGTCCTAGTCTCCTACTTGTCCTACTCCAGCGTGTCATCGGTGGCGGGAAAGCTTGTTGTACCATACTTTCCCAGCCAGGATGGGTATTTCATATGCGTACCTTATTGCCCCGGCGGTGCCGTCAACTGCGGGACCGCAAGTGTCTCGATGTCGTACACGGTTGTTGCAGCCGCCACGCCTATTCTAAAGTTCAGTCCTGCGACACCAGGGGTATACAGCCGCATTCCGGAGAAACCTCAGGCACGGGAGGAGGGAAGCTTAACTTTCTATGGCATTGGGCTATCTAATGCTGATAAGGTTAAGATTATTGTGCCCAATGATCAATGCACCTCACCGTCTGCTTCGTTGCTTGACAGCATTAGGTTTGGTGCGCTGGAGTATACACCTAAAGAAAAAAAGGCCTTTATCCGGTTCGTCAGGCTAGATCTTCTTGATAAGTCGATTACTGGGAGGGTTTGCTATTGGCGTAGCGCATCGGGCATGTGGTCGAGTGCCTATCTCTCAAAAGACAACCAAAAAGCGGATTTTACGATTGACCCCCTTCAACCCAGTCATTTCACCGTACTGACTCCATCACCTGGTGTGGGAAAGACCATCAGGTTAAAGTTTTTTGGAAATGGCCTGAATGGCAACACCGACAAGGCTTTTCTTTCCTCTGTGTCCATTTCGAAGCCATGCGAAGCGATATTGGATGACGAGGATCTGTTTATATGCGACATGACTGGTACTGCCACTCCGGTCTGCAATGTCTACGTAAACCCACCGTTAAACATCGAGATTAAATTATTTGTTTACTACTGCACGGATGGACGTGCGAATTACGCCCAACTCCACGATACTGTCACTCTTGCGGCGAGGAATCCGACTTACACTTTGTCCTCATACCCGATCTTTGGTGGACAGTTTGTGCGCATACAGTTCACTGGAAAAGGTCTCTCCGCAAATGATGAGATAAGAATTATACCGCACGACAAGTCTTGCGGTAATGACGTACCACCCTTCACCAACGCCAGTCTTACGAGCTTTACAGAAGTGAAACCTGGAGAGACCTATGAATGCGAACTGGTTGGGCAAGCAGATGTCTGCCTCACTGTGTGCTACCACTTAAGCAGCTCTGATTCGTGGGTAACGACTCATAGCAGCGTCGGCTCTTCGGTCTCAGTGTTCACGTCGTGCCCAGCGACGGCGCTTTACATCGCACCATACCCGGGCCGGTATAACTTTCCAATGACCACAAGGGCAAGTCCTATCACTGTGTATGAGACGGCTCAGATGAGGATCGAAAATATGTATTCATCCAATTCTATCATTCCAGTGGGCATAAAGATCGTGCGCATGCCGGATGCTTGCGTATTGAAGTTATGTAGTGGTAAGCCTGCCTGTGCAGAAGAGGCTTCAGCCGATGATTTCGTCAGTGAATTCGCGCTTGCGAGTCTCTCCGCGAATGTGATGTTGTCTGATGTGGATTCAAACTATGTTGTCTGTGTTTTGCTTGTAAAAGGAGAGTCGTATATTCCTGTGTTGCCCTATTGGGTTCCAAAAGCATCTGTGAATGCCACTACGTACGGCTTCAAGGCCACCACACGGAACCTGGAGTTGTCTTATTACGAGCCGAAAAGTTGGCATGTGGGCATGGCAACACTAACAACTATTTTCTCTGGTGTCGGCCTGGACGCTTTGCGTGATCGAGTGTATCCCGTAGCATCCATCACGCTTCTAGACAATCATGTCTGCCCACCGCCGGACGGTGTGCTGCCGATGGTCCTCGTTCCGTCAGTGCATCCTGAGAACAGCACGACGAAAGTGGTCACCGTGACGTATGCCCGCTCCGACCTCCTTACCATTGATGTGGTGCACTTTTGTTACCAATGGGCAAGTGTTGCCGACACAGGGTCTAGAAAAGGTCAGAGTCGCATGTCATACGCCGGCTATGTTCATATTGACCCCGCTATTCCTTCGTCTTTCAAGCTTGTGAATATGCCGGCGGACGGTGAGTACTACGCCACTGATTCAGTTACAATGATTTTTTTTTCTGATGACAGTAAAAACAATGTGCTCTCTGCGGATAATGATGCCGTATACTTTTATCGCTTTGACAGCTCCATGTACCCAAACCCGAACTGTTACTGCAATCCATTTGCTTGTCCCTCCGAGCTGAAGATATCCTACAATGATGCGATATTCACCAACGTCACAACAGCTCAGGTAGTGCCTGGTTCTCAGGTTAACTATACTAATTTCCATGGATTTCGAAACTATGAAGTGGATACCACATACGTTGTCTGCTACTCCGTAGGATTCTTTGCGCATGCTGACATGTACCTGGGGAGGTTTATGGTAAAATTGGCGAATCCAATGTATTATACTCTTCTTAAGCGTGATGGAGCAGTAAATCACGCCGGTGAAGTCATCAGTATCTTGGCTCATCGTTGCCGGGATACCAGCCGCTGCAAACTTCTCACAGAAGACGACCAAATGATTCTGATACCAAGCGCTGTGGAGTGCGCATCGGTATACTCTGCCGACGCGTTCGCAAGCGTGGTGCAGCACATTGGTCGACCAGTCGTAAGTGGCGCGAATGAGTATATGTACCTACAGCGTTTTGTCGTTAACCATGCCGGAAAGTACAGAGTCTGCTACCGCCGGCATAGCAAACTCGAGGGCAGCTTTGCTGAGCTTGCGTTCACCTCAAAATTTCTTGCCCAACCAGTCGAGGTTTCCAGTGAGGATCCAGCATCCTTCGAGACCGTCCCAGCTTCACCCTCCGAGGGGCAGTTCCTTATTGTTAACCTTCAATGCAGCCAAGTTGAGTGCAGCAGCTGCAGGGTTCTCCGCCTGATACAGGGTGCTGATGCATCGTGTTGGGACTCGTCAACGAAAAGCCAAGTGTATAGCAGCACTGATTGCCTGACGACAAGATCAATTCAGTTTCCCAATCAGTATATTGCAGAGGGGTCCTATACCGTTTGTTATGGTGATGGTGACATGGAAACTACGCGGCGTCTGCCGGGAGCGCTTGTAATATCTAAGATGAACCCCTCCAGCTACGCCTCTGTTCCGGACGCAGGGCGGACTATTTTCACGAATCAGGTTTCGAATTTTATCTTGAGTATTAGGGGTGAAGGCCTCGGAGTTAATGACGAGGCCTTTTTGTTGACCGCAAAGTTTTATTCCTGTCATGATTTGCGCACATCCGATATTCAGAACAACAGGACCCTGCAGAGGTGGCTCGCACCAAGTATCTATCCGTATACTCTTCAAGAAACAAGTGATGGAGTATCGTGGATCGTGTCGAACTTATCCAAACGCTTCGGAGTGGGTATGCTTTATGATAGGACGCTTTGCGATAAGGCTGGGGGGCCTTGTGAAATGAAGCTATGCTACAAACGCAGCGGCACATCATGGGCACCCGTCGCCATCGAATCTTTACCCTCCATACAGATTAGGCTCCCTGATCCCTCGTCTGTCTCATTTGATCGCAGTATACTGATATCAAACATGTATGTTATGGTAACTGTATCGGGTAGTAACTTAAAAGAAAAAGATCGCCTCGCTATTAATACCGGGATAGTGTGTGATGCTGGGGCGGTGACGGCCGCAGTGCTTGTGGGAAAGCCCTCTGTTGATGAAAATGGAACTCAATGGCGTGGTGTCCTCCGTCTTCTCGATGGTGGGGCGAATACCTATACCGTGTGTTACACACGAGAGTCAGGTACCACATCTGAGATCAACAACATAAAATTTCCAGGGTCGTCCAGTTCCAACATTAATATCCTCCCTAGCCCGCTCTACGCAGTATATAGCAAGCAAAACTTTACTTCACTCCATTATGCTATCACACGATACGAGGAGATGATTATTGCAGGGTCCTTTAAGGATGACGGCAGTGAAATAGTCCCTCTGACGAATGCACAACTCATCCATGCGGACTCAGCGAGGGCTGAGTGCAACTACGATTCCTTCCCGAAAGGCATCAAACAAGCTGCCCCGTTTCCAGTCATTGAGAATTTTACTGAAACCACTCCTGGGTCAGGCGTATTCCAAGGCCGTTTGATGATAGAGCAGGATGTTTACATGTTATGCATGAACACTTCGAAGGGGTTGTTCCGCGTAGATGGCTTCCCACCGAATGAGCCAGCCAAAGCAAGTACGGCCGTGAGCCGGTCTGCAGCCCTTCGTGAGCATATGAGTGCACCTAAAGATACTATAGCTATCGGTAACGAAATCCCGAACAACTATGACGTGTTTCCAAATGAACCTATGGTGGGGCAGCAAGTTCAGTTTAATTTTTACGCCCCGCTTACACCCTCGACAACCAGAAAACCGTTTGCTGTGGGAGACGCCGTACAGATTATTGATGGAAACCTATTCGACTGCGGCTTCCGGAACACCACCATCTTTTCTGAAGGCCTTGTGAAATCTATCATGAGCACGAACGACCGATTCACCGCTTTAGCCGAGCTGATTCTCCCAGATGTTCTCACCAACAGCGCTGGTCTACGTTTAGCAAATAAACCACATAGCTTAACAGTATGTTACCGGAAACAATCCGGGACATTCGCTACGGTGCCACGTCCTAGCACAACGGTGGATCGGAACCTACACGTTAAGGAGACAATACCCGTGCAATGGTACTCAAACCCAATGCAATTACAGGACGGCGCTTCGGCTAGCATCAGTTTTGTTGGTAACAACGACTATCCAGAGTATTTAAGTGCGGAAGACAGCGCCTTTTTGGTGCGCGCTCACGATACGAACAAACTGTCAACAAACTCGGAGTTCTGTAGGACCGGTACCCCAGTACTGAGCTCTATAGTCATACAAAAGGATGGCATCAATACTGTCTGGCACATCACTTCAGGTAAACTTGAGGAAGGAAATTATGTTGTGTGTTACATTGCCGCGAGAAACGGGAAACCACTCTATGTCCACTCACCGGAGCTCTTGGTTGTGTACCCGCTTCAGTCACCAACCGGCGCCTACTCGAACCATCACTCGCAAAGCGATGATCTTAATGCATACCGTGGTGAGCGCTTCTACATCTTCTTTAAGACATCTGAGGAACTTCAGGTAGTTCTTGATGATGGACTCACACCGGCATCTAAGCTTGTGGGGCGTGATGTGGTGCGCATCTCGCCGCATCGCAACTGTAGTGCTCCCCTTCAAAGTGACAGGGTCGCTGCGATCCCATCTTCCTTCGGGTACAAGCCACTGGATACAATTATGACCAACTTGGGAGTGCCCGTCCCATACATTCACCTCAGAGTGCGAGCGGAGTCGGGGACTTACTTTGTTTGTATGCAGCGCACAGGCCGGGAACCTTGGCAGGCGTATTACACCAGCAGCCTAGTGGGAAGTGATGTCCATCCCGCGGTGCTAACCATCACCAATTCGCCCGTTACACAATTTACGACTACGCCAGTGTCACCTCGTGTTCTTGTGAAGCGAACCAAGGTCCATTTCTCATTCTCATCTGAATATACGTTGAATAACTTTAAACAATTTTTTTTCGTTCCTTTCGAGAAAAATTTGATATCGACAGAGGATGAGATTAGCCATGATAACTGCTATCGCCCCCCTACGCGCAGTGAGGCCGCCTCCGAGACTGTAGTATTGTTGAACAATAGCTTACAGGTTAATTTCGAGACAATGGATCTCGACTGGAGTTTCACGGACGCCGGAACCTATTTACTCTGCTTCCAACTGGTTAATCAGTCAACTGTTGCATCGGTTTTCCCCTCTACGCTCACAGTTCTAAATCCGTCACCAATTTTCTACGAAGTGAAACCCATTATTTCTAAAGGGATCGCCTTCAGCATGTCTATCGCAGCGCTAGATCCCATATTCGATCACGACAAAAATCGTATGGATATTTATGTGTTACCAAGTGATGCTGACATTGAGGCCTTGCCCAGCTGTGTGGGAGCAAATCCACCGAGTGGAGGGGGTGTAACATCATTCACAAACTTCAAGAACGCAAGAAGCAGCTACGCTTCTGTGGAACCTATCATCAATGACTCGGGTTATTTCTTTGTTTGTTTTCTCACCTATGATCAGTCGATGGCTTTCCCTGTACCCAATCACGCTGGATATTTTTCGTTTTCTGTTGGCATTACAGGAGCGCAGAAATATGAAGTTCATCCGCCAAATCCGTATCTTGGTCAGATTTTAAATATTAATATCAAGGGAAACTTGCTGAGTGATAAGGATCACGTTAAAATAGTTCGTGTTTTCCCCAAGGAATTGGCCGCGTTGGCTTATTCACTGGAGGACACGGTGGGGTCAAGTTACGAAGTAGAATGCTCGGCGTCGTCAATAAATGCGGACGCAAATGCCCCCCCAGGGGACACAGAAGGCTCTGCGGTGGTGAGCAGCAGTAGCATCGTGGGATTCTACTATCCTCGTGTGAACGCGACCGGGAAGTACGTGTTGTGCTATCAGAGTTTTCCTCTGAATAATGTGTGGAGTTTGGTCGATAATCCAGGGTTATTCACTGTGGGTGAGGCACATCCATCGGGTTATTTGCTACAGCCGGACCCTATGTACAAGACTCAGATTGTGAAGCTTATTGTGCAGGATTCGGTTGGCTTACTGCAGGCCCAGGATCGCCTGAAGCTTGTATCGAGTTCTGACTCGGACAGCCCAAGATTTAAATGCAATGACAACGCCCCATCGAGCAGCGACGTTGTTGTTATCGAGTTTGTCGCCTCTGAGAGCACGAAGGACGCGTCCGTCTATCGTGTCTGTGGGAGGAGTTCAATAAGCGTGGTCGTGTGTTATCAGCTAGCAGGCACCAACTCATGGGCCGAGGTTCCACGACTCTCCCCGCCCCCGAACTATGTCTTTTCACCTATAATATTTCTAAAAGACCCATTTGTGGGTCCTTCTCTGATCCCCAACCAGGACTATACTCCTCGACCGTATGAACCTTTTTCTTTCACATTTACAAGTCTTTCTGCCTCTGAGGAGGTAACACATGTGGGATTCTCACTGGGATCGCTAGAGCCGTGTACACCGAATGTGGTCTATGTTACTCCTTCGTACTACAATAAGAAATCATCTACCAGCAACGTTTTTACCGTTGCTCTGAATGCGGCTAGTAGCTACACGCTGCACCTTGGGATGAGTGGTAATGTGTTGGATCCAAACATAACCAAGACAAGCAGTCTGGTTGTCGGACCTTGTGAACCGTGTGGTGTGGTGCCACCTTACGCGTTCCTGGATCAGGAGGTGAGTCTTACGTTCACGAGTTCAGATAAGGGTCTTTCTGAGGGGGATGCGTTACGCTTGATTCCCAGGTCACAGGATCTATCCGATTTACCATGCGAGAACCCGCAAGGTCCTTACAAATCGACAACTTTTAGTCCGACTTCAGTTGTATCTGACGGCAGTTCGACCAGCTTCACGGTCTACACTGGCAAGCCTGAGGATTTCAGTAGCTACCTCGGGGAGTATCATTTATGCTATCGCAAGGGTAACAGTGGCCCAGTAAAAGGAAATTTTGCCATTATTTCTGACGATGCAGGCCTGAAAGCGATCTTTTCCATTTATCCTATCGACTTCGTCAGGCTCCGGGATGTTTGCCCCAATGGGGATAATGTGTATGCACTCGAGACGGTCGTGTTCAATCTGACCGTGCTCGATGAGCATAAGTACCCGCACGCGGCCTTTGGCCCAAAGGATAAGTTTCAACTTGTTCCACTAGCTGATGCGTCGAATATATTGTGTGAAGATGTGAATAGCATCTCAACGCAGCCCGATGCTGGCGATCCTGGGGTTGTGTTGCCAAGAATGGATTCTTACGGCACTGCGTACTCTAACTGGTATGCCACCATGCCCGCTATCCAACATAGCACGTCATATTTATTATGCTTTAAGCTAGAGTATGATACCACCTTTCGGAGCGTGTCAACTACGAAGCTGACGGTGCAGTCTGCGAACCCATACACTATTTACACGACGCCAAGTGTTATCTTACCTGAATCGATTAATGCTACAATCAATGTGGTAGGCATTGGGATGCTTGCGACAGATAACACATACCTCGTGAGCAATTCGGAATCCTGTGCAGAAACCTGCTACCTCTCGCTTCAGCCAACTGAGTGGGACGGTGGACCGAAGAGGGTGACCTTCACCAAGGAATACATCAACTCTACGTTGCTCCGCATTACCTTTAGTGGCCCTATACAAGATGTCGTGACTCTTGGTGTGTGCTACCGGCGAGCTGGGTATCTACTAACTCGTGTCGGCAACGTGCACGTGGGGGAGCCTAATCCAACATTATGGGTGACTAACTTTGTTCCGCGGATCGGCACCCGGCCAACCATCACATTCAGCGGCAAAGATCTTACAAAGGAAGACCGTGTTATGATTGTTCGGCTTGGTGACACATGCTATGAGGGTGCTGCTGTCGCTAATGCGGTTTTCCTCTCCGTAGACAGCCTCACGCACCTAACTACGTCTTTTTACTTAACCCTTATAGATGTGGTAGTGGAAAAATACACCATATGTTACTTTGTTTCTACGGTAGGTTCCTATGTAGAAATGAAAGAACCCTTCTCCGTACTGCCGGGTGGGCCCAATGTCTTTACTACGAGCAACACACTTATGCAGTGGCGTGCCACTGTTGTGTCTGTTAAGCCGGATTCCAATACAAACCCATACACCCCGCAAGTCAACGACGAGGCATATATTACGAATGAGAAACAAAGTTGTTTTGATGAGGTACACGCGACAGTGCCCTACGGCACCCCTTACGCAAAGCTCACAAATCCTTTGGAACCGTTGCGTATCCGTGTAGGCTTCAACACGGATGGCACATATATTGTATGCTACAAGCTCGCGGACAGCGGTTATGCGCGTGTAGGCTCAAATCTCATCCTTAAACCAGTCTTGAGCTCGCCTACTACTGTTGTGCGCTTTCCGATTCTGACTTACCAAGGCCAACGACTGGCATATAACTTTACGGGTTACACTGAGAACGATCCCATTGAGGAAAGGGATGAGGTCATGCTCGTGGAGAGGGCCCGTGGCTGCTGGGACACACCTGATATGGATCCTGACCGAATATTGGTGAGTTCTTCCCCGCTCGTCCGCATTCAGAAAGACCAGAAATCACTTGGTGAGTGGCGGGCACACGTCCCTTCACTGGGGCCTGACGTCCCGAAAGGTCTGAAGTTTCCATGTGAGTACATCCTGTGCTACCGCGCGGGAAGCCAGGAAGAGTACATCCCTGTTCCCACACCTGTTGGTTTACTACTTCAGCCCTCTGACGCCGAATCCGTCGCTGTTACCGACACTGAGAATGTTCTTTATGCTGCAGATCCACCCACATACTCAACACAGCCGGCTACCGTCAGGGTTGGCATGAGTGACGTTCGTGTCTCCTTTCCCAGAGCACAAGTCGGCGATATGGCCTATGCAGTGTGGTTCGAAATACTGACAAACGAGGTTTGCACCTCCGAATCGACTTTGATATCTTCGGAGGCCAGCGCTTATCCAAAGTATGGTCTAAGTCTGCCAGGTAACCTTCGCGCGGGTGATAACCACGTGGCATTATGCTACATCAAAACTGGTGGTTCGGTTGCGGAGGTGCCTCAGACGCTGTCCATCTCAACGGGGAACCCAAGCAGCTATAAAATGAATACTGTTACGCCTTTAGCTGGGTTTGAGCGAGAGTACATTGCCTTTACCATTTTTGGCGAAGGACTAAATGCACAAAAGGATGCGGTAGTGTTTTCTGAGGTCTCATGTGGTACGGCACCGAAGCCACTCAAATCAACGCCTGCATTAGCTCGAATGGGTGAGATGGAGACCATTCCGACCGGTGTAAAATTTGTAGCTCAGTTCAGATCGAGTAGGGTCGCATTACGTGTGTATCTGTGCTACGAGCTGGATAGTATTTGGCGTGAGGTGGGCAGCCCCTTCTTGCTACAGATCTCAAACCTGTCAACGGCACAACTTGAGACTTTCAACGGAAACGGCTCCCCACGTGCTGGGCAACACCTGAGCATCACACTAGCAAGCAGTGTGTTAATCACGCTTGACGAGGCCGCTGTACTCGCCGTGTCCACTCCCACAGGATCCGGGACATGGTGCCATAATTTCACTCAAGACGACATTCAGGAGCCAGACCTCATCATGAGCGCCCCTCTGCTAGAGGTTCCGGTGTGGCAGTACACGGGGGCCTCACGTTTGTGTCTGAAAGTTTCAAAGGATGCTCCATGGATGGACATTGCATCCACAGTCGATGGAATTGGGCTGACAGAAGTGCTCGAAGCGAATCCTTCGAGGATGGAAGTCTTTCCCAACCCGCCTCGAGTCGGGCAGCAGGTAACGCTGACATTCCATCTTGTTGTCCCAAGCGCAAAGGGTGATATGATACGCATCCCCTCTCCGGGATACCGGAAATCGTGCGACACCGCAACTAGTGTGGTTGGGTTTCTGAACGCGATACCTGTTATGATTGTGGACGGGTCCACGACACGCGTGACGTTGGAGGACTCAACGGACGCGCTTGCGTACCGTAGTTTCAACACCACTGGGACCTATCTCGTGTGTTACTACAGCGCGCTGGAGGCTGCTTGGGGCGTTGTGGGCGGCACGTTCCAAGCAGGTACTATAAACGTGCAAAACCAGGTGCCTCAGCGTTGGGAGCTCGAGAGCGGGGCCCTCGTTCAGTTCCAAAGCTTCACACTTCGCTTCGAAGATGAGTTTGGACGGCTTAACGCATCCGGCGGTGACCTTGCGTGGGCGGCTCCGTCTGGACAGAGCTGCGGGGTTGACCCACATTCCTGTGCCCAGTGCATTCTGTTCGACATGAATGCAGACGTCAGCACATCAAAAAGCGTTGTGACGAAGCCGATGGCATCTAACATTGTCGACAACTTCAACGTGTGCTACCGCCTCGCTGGGAGTACGGCATCTATGATGGAGAATCCAATTGAAATTAACGCTGGTCCAATTCAATGCATCAAAAACACTACCATGACAGCCGGTATGCGCCAAGTCGTCACTTTCATGATTGGTAATGGTGTGGACGTGGAGCAAGATACGTGGGGTGTGTCTTTTTATCAAACTAGCATGAGGGAGTGCCAGAGCCACTACGTGCCGAGTTTTCTTCCCGAGATGGTTAAAAGGGGCACTACCACCGCTACCACCGTTTCCTACATCGTCAACTGGCCTTTGGATCTTGTTGAGGATAGGTATAGGATTTGCTACCACCATAACAACATGTTCACGCCGGTATGCACATGCGAACAGATTAATTCTAAGAATGGAGAGTGTTACATTACCATGCAGACATCTATAGAAAAATTTACAGTCGCACCGGACCCGAGTTATGTTGGACAGACGATTGGACTTACATTAACCCTTGCCACTGACCGTGCTATGTACCCTCCAACGAATGTAAAGTTTGTTCGTTATGTAGATAGATTGACATCGTGCGATGAGGCAGCGACCTTTGATCCACAAGGCGTCTTGAGGAAAGTCAAAGATACGGTGTATCAGTACGTTTTTAAGCATGACTACACGCTAGATCCAGGTGGTTTCCTGGTGTGCGTATTGACGAGTTTATCCACAGATTACGTCCGCATTGCAAGTAATTCCAAGGATAAACATCATGACAACTTGCTCTGGATTCGCCCTTACTTCAAATTAGCTACATTTCCATCGAAATCGGAGTACCTGCGTGCGATGCAGACACTAGACCTGCGCTTTACACACCAATCGAAATTACCAGATGACGTTGTCAGTCTTGGTGATAGCTTTACCTTCGTTTCTGACCCCAAATATTGCACTAACGAGTATATTAACCATCAGGACCCAAGCAAGGAGTTGAAAAAGTTTTACCTTGACGACACTGCCTTCCGCAGTATCCCGGCGCCGGTCAGGAGCACGGATAGTCAAAAGTTTGAATCTGGCACGTTTTTGACTTTCAACGAAGGGGGTGTTGGCACTCAGTACTTGTGCTATAGGCTAGTCACCGGCACGTGGGCTCCGGTGCTTCCAGCGTTGAGCATCCAGCCTGCCATGACAAAGGCCAGCGAGTGTGTTATGATGCTAGATTCAGAGCAAGAAAAGGGTGACGTTGCTGATAGTTCTGCACGTGCGATGCAGTTCATACGGACTACCATCAAAGGAACAGCGGACTTTGCGAAACTATACACCAAATTTGACGCCATTCGCATCGTACCTCAGGACTACGCATGCATCAACGACACTGCTGTCGTTTTTCTATCATCTGAGACGTATCCCCAACCCTCAACCAACTTTGACGTCTCTGTTGTTACCTTCACTGAGGAGCCGGGAGTGTATAAAGTGTGCTACCGCATTGGAGGCCCAGCCAGCGACTTCGCGAGCTGGAGCCCAATTTGCCAAGATATCACATTTTCAACTCCTAGCCCGACGGCTAACTTCTCAGGTTGCTTGATTGAAGGCCAAAGTCTAGACGTCACCACTACCCATCGTGATGGCTTTACCTTTGATGCTGATGACAGGGTTCGATACGTTGCAGGCGGCGAGCTCTGCCTGCACGCGGACGGCTCGTCGGCTCGTCCGCTGTCAACGATCACCCTCAACGACGTAGCACAAGCAGTGGATGGGTTCAGACTAGGTCCAGATGCAATGGGAAAAACCAGCGTATCTCTACCTTATGCGCTCCTGGGGTCTCAAACAAACAGCTTTACTCTGTGCTACCGAGACGCCGGAGGGCATGAGTTCGCGATTCCGATCAACCATGCGATTAAACCAAGGGCGTGGATTTTCCCATTGCAAGAGCAGCAACCGAGCTTCATATTAGTGAACCCGTCTAATGCGCAGCTTGGCCAGCGTATCGTGCTAAATTTTACAGCCTCAAGTGATGCCACAACGCCGGGGTTAACACCTTATGGTCTCTTACCCGAGTTCCCCGTTCCAGGCCCAGCATTCAATGGTACCTTCGATGCGGCCACACTATTGCTTTTGGAAGACGGTGTGGCGTATCGTGAGGGCCGCTGTGCGGCAGCAGCCCGCGACAATGTGCTGGAGCTCTACGGCGTCTATGGCGCTAACTCCAAGCCTCCTTATACCGTGGCTGTTTACGACGCAAAGATTGGGGGCAAACGATACATTGCTTGCTATTGCCTAGCGTCATGTAGAGCAGTGGACATCGGGAGGGTACTTAATATTTTACCTTATAACCCTGCGCGTACTTATACCACACCAAGCAAGCCGCGTCAAGGCCAAGTGATAGAGGTACACTTCACTCGCGATAGCACGACACCCGACTCCGCGTTTCTTACCCCCAGCCAGGACCTTGCTACAATACAAACAAGCTTAGAATCGTGCTGGTCGCTAGGTACAGATGCAGGAACTGTGGTATTGGGAACCCCTTCTGAGGTCTACTTTACGGCGATCTTCCCTGCTCAAGCACCAGCGCAATCAAGGACGCTCATAACGCGAATCTGTTATCGTTTAATCAAAGGAACATGGTCGGAGGTGCCGGGTGGAGAGGCTTCAGTGCTGCCGGCGAACCCATCCGCGTTCGAAATCGATCCGGAGATTCCTCGGCAGAGTAAGCTCAATACGATCCGCTTCATTGGTTCGGGCCTCAGTCTTGGCGATCATGTGAAGATAATTCCACTTTCTGTTTCATGCAATGATACGTCGAGGCCACCGGCTGACTTTGTGGCATACGATACTGCTCTGAAACCGCTGAATGGGACCAAAAGCGGCTGGCAGGTAACAGCCATAAGTATGGACAGCACCATGACGGGACTCAACATCTCAACGGATACACAGGGCGAGTATAGCGTGTGCTATAGACTCAAGGATGATACAGTTTGGACGTTGATGCACGGCAGCTTGCATATTTACATGCGAAACCCTAGTATGATGACACAGACACCTGTCATGACTCTGGAGGGGGAGATGTTCACACTGAACTTTACTAACACCCTAAGCGACATCATTAAGCCCTTCAGAGCTGTCTCCGTCTCTCCCAACGCCAAGGATCGGGTTGCCGTATACTTTGGCGAGAAGGTGAGCTGCATTGCTCCAGATGGTACCTCCATCATCGAAACTGGCCCATCACGAATCGATTTACTGACCCAAAGTATCGCCTTTCAGCTGGTTATCACGAATCGAGGGAGTTACACGGTGTGTTACTTGGATTTCCTTGGCTCTTCGTCCCTTGCGGAGGTTGACAAGTACAGCCCTACCTGGGGCTTTGCGCCCATCGTCGTTGGTCCTAATCCCAAAGGAGTAGCGCTATTTCCACCTGTTGACGCGCCAGTGGCGGACTATAACCCGCAGAAGCTGATTTCGCTCGTATTTAGTGGTTTTGGTTTATCCTCTTTGAGTGATAATTTGGATGAAGTGCGCCTCGTCGATGCCAGTTTGCCGTACTCGCACGAGTCCTGCTTTAATCACATCACTCCGACTGAGCTGCACCTCTACAAGCTCATTGCGAATGGTAGTCATGCCGTTCAGGTATTGTCCTGGATCAAACCAAAGAAACTCGATACTTTGAATGCTGATGCCACTCCCAGCTCGCGCTACTGGATTTGCTATAAATTGTATGGTGGGTTGTACCACATTGTTGGCTCGACTCTTCTGAAGGTCTTCGGCACGGCGAGTCCAAGTGCGGCTAATCCATCCAAGCCTACCTCAGACATCGCGATCGGTGAGGCCGTGAATTGGACTTTACTGGAAAACAGGGCGTGCGCGCGGGGGGATGTGCTGTACTACAGCGCTAGTGGGTGCAATGATAGGCCTTACTATGACATGCCCCCGTTGGCAAGTGGGCAGGATCTCTTATCATTATTTCCATGGGGTGCGTCTTGGGTGGACTGCAGCGTCCCCCAGACGTCTGTGCGGGTGTCATATACGGCTGGATCGCCCACCAACGAGGATCCTTATGCGCTCCACACCGCTGAAGCTCAGGGCTATCCGAAGCTATCCTTGTGCTATTACCACAATGCTTCTCATCAAGGATTCATATCTAGCGTTACCATTCTGGGGCTTGACACGATATCTATCAACGACGGGGTGCCACCCGTCTTACCCCATCCTCTTACTGGAATTCAGGCAGGGCGTATATTTTCTTTCGAACTGGATGTGCAGCCGGAGTCTGACTTCTTAGTGTTGACAGCAACAGCCGAAAAGTGCTCGGATATGGGGACACCTCCAGAGGATGCGGCGCTCTTCATGACTATGACGTACAACAAAACTCAGCACCGCCTCGTCGTCACAACGGCTGTGCCAGCCGCAGGAACGTACTACATTTGTTATTCTCACCGCATCAAGGAATGTGAGCTTCGCTATGGCAGGGACTGTGCGCGCGTTGTTGGAGAGATTCGTGCGACCGCTGCTAATCCTGTGGGTTGGAAGGCAGACTCGGCTCCAGTCTACACATCGATGTTTCTCAACATCATGTTAGTGTCTGATAAGGCGTTACCGCAGGAGGGCGCGTCACTGTGGATGCGACAACTACCAGATGGGGCGAGTCATAGAAATGGTGCTCCTACGATGGCGGACGTCGCTGCCAGATGCCTGGAGTCTCACACAGGTGACTCTGGTGGCGGACCAGCACAGGTCACATTCACGTTTAAGCGCGAAACTGGCAAGTGGAAGAGTACGGAGCCTATTAAATATGCTGGACCATACGCGTTGTGCTATAAAGATGTCCCGATCGATGAAATGGACAACATTAGCGCTTTAGTTGAATCATCAAGCTTTTCCTTTCCCAGAAACGTGCCAACGATTGCTATCTTCTATCCGGTAACGAATGCAGGGCCAGTGGTGAAGCCGAGCCGCGTTAGCAATGTTGTGTTCAAAAAGCCGCCGGTCGTGGGCGGAGATACGGTGTCTCATGTTCTCCTGATTGGTTCTGGCCTTTCACAGGACGATATAGTTGTGGCCGTTGGAGTACCCTTCTATTCTTTGTTGTCAACTTCAGATACTTTGAAGATTCCGTTAGACATATGCACCAACACCCGCTATACCCCACGTGTTCCAGGTATCTCTGTCTTATCTAACACCGTTTATGACCCGAGCAGTATGAGCCAGATGCTGTACGCATTTACTTTCCAGATAACAGGAGGTTATATGCTGTGCTATACATCGGCAGATGCGCGCCGTGTCCAGCAACATGGGATCCCGATTACACCTGACGGTTTTGCGGTGGCTCCTACGGTGACGCGTGTGACAGTAATAGGCGGCGTGGGTCTCGTGAAAGTGCCGATGGATTTACTGATTAATGGCAACGGCCTCAGAGATACCGATCTCGCCGCTCTTGCGTTGATTCCTTCCCACCCCAAAGCACGTCACATCGTTACCCTTGACATCCCCAACGTGTGCGACTCTGACAAGCTTATCTTTACTACTCCCGTGAGTGCCAACAAGGACGGCAAGACCGCCACCTACAGATTTACCCCTTCCGTCGAGGGTGACCATGTGGTCTGCTATAAAGTTCAACCCGGTGGAGGCATCCTCGCAGGGCCGCAGGAGCTGCCTGGGGTGATTGCTGTTGGTGTGGATTCCGCGGTGGAGGCTGTCTTTATTATACAGCCGGACTTATGCCAAACATTTCTGGCGTGTAAGGTACAACCTAAGGTGGAGTTACAGGACAAAAAAGGCGAGCCTGTGGCCTCACCAGGTGCGAACGTGCAAATGGCGCTCGCCTTTGCTGAGACAGGTAAGCTGACTCCGGAAAGCTATCTATTAGGAGGAGGTATATTCATCAATGAAAAGAACACAAGTTTCAACTTTGTAGCCCTGAGCATCTCTACCAAAGGGAAATACTATATGACCGCGGAGTTTACCTTGATGGGGAATCATTCTCTGAGAGTAAATTCACTTCCTTTCACCGTTGAAGATAGCCACGTCGACGTCCGCAGCATTGCGGTGGTGGTTTGCCTCCCATTTGGCATCAATCCTGACCGTGAAAGTCCAATCCATTGTACGTGTGAAAGTCTGTCATCGTTTTTCATACCAAAGAATTACAGCATTAGTGTAAGTGCTGGCACTGCAACTGCATGTATTGCGAGCGGGAAAACCCCCAAGGGCCTCTCATATTGTACCTTTAATGTAACTCCACCTCAAAATACTGGGGGTGCGGGAATGCCGGTTAACTACCTCGTCGTTGAGGTTAGAAATATTGAACCATACATCCGTTGGCCTGTTAGTAACTCCCCCATTGTTGTGCGTCTTCCGAGTATTCCTGATCAATGTACGACTTTATCATGTACGAAGTCTCTATCTATGACGGATCATATGCAACTGCCTACTGACTATGTCCGCGCAGGAGACACCCTTAACTGCACAGTACAGGGTTGTGCAGTGGTTGACAATATCACCACCAATGTCGTCGTCCCAGTTTCTAATCTACGCGTCACTCACACTTACTTCTCTGATGGCATGATCAAAACTGACCCCATCGATATCGGTGCATTCCCAGGTGACCCTAATGGGCTTTATTCGTTCAGCTTTACTGTAGGATCAGCACTAAAGATCTCAGTGAATGGCTCGATTTTGCCGAGTTCAAGCTACGAGGGCCACGATGTGTCAGAAAGCAGCGTTACCATGACCGGAAGCCCTCAGGTCCGGACAATTCTTGGTGTGCCCACTGCAAGGGACTCCAGGATATCGTGTAAGTCCAATACGTCGAGTTCTAGAGAATGGTTTTTACCCTCAGAGGCGATGAATTGCGTGGTGCAACTTGCGGATCACAGTGGTCGTGTAAACGGCATTGGAACTGACTTGGAGGTGTTGATGCCACAGGGTGGTACTGCTACCACAATAAACCCCACGATCGCCAGCACGGAACTCACTATTGCGGTAACTGCACCGGAGTCGACCCCTACACAGATCGCTTCTATGCTTGATGAAAGTAAGTTGCATGGTACTATCACTCGCCATTCAGCATTCTCACTTATAAGTGCTTATGACTTTCGGTTTGAAATCCAGGTCAACTTCAGACCTGCGAAAGGGATGACATTAGGTTCTTATACGGGCAAGCTTGTTTACGTTAGAGCCATGACAGACCCCTTGCCGGAATTCATCGCGGGTGCAAGAGCTTCAATAGATTTAGTCGGCTCAGGTCTTCTTACCACGCACAGTTACGAGATTGCAGGCACCTCGACTTGCGATCCCGGATCTTCGGGCCTCCAGAAAGCCACTGCATCGGTGGTTAGTAGTCCCACGCAGGCAACAAGACTGAGTTTCACGGTTCCCAAGGGAATGACATTTTACTTATGTGTTGGAACACAAGACTTACCAGACTATTTGCGGCTGCTGACACCCCACGCGTTCATAATTTCCGGGGGCCAACATAGTGATTGGACGCGAGATGGCTTAATTCTTCTCATTATTGGTATCATTTTCCTAGTGATCCTGTTGCTGCTGCTGGTAGTACTTCTTTACTGCATTTTTTGCGTAAATAGAGGATTTGTCGGGCGCCACCGCTATGCCCGAGAGGTCTGCCCGCGATCCACAGTGTATATACCTCCAATGGCGAATGATCGATTTTTATGGCGTGAAAACTCCATTCCTGTTCTACTCACGACTTCGCAATCTAACACAGAGGGTGTTAATCATGCGCACACTGCAGCAGCCGCGCCCTCTGACGACCCGCCAAACATCCTCGTAACTACTGAAAGAACGATGAAAGACCATCATCGCCAGAAGAACATGGACCCCACGTTGCCACTTCCGTCACCCGTTAGCATTTTAGCACAGGATATGCTTAAGCATCACACACCTTACACAGCGACAGCGACGACAAACTCAACATCCAGCAATACAATGCTACGAAGCAAGGACGACGTGTTAGAAGCAGTAGGAGATGCCGTGAAGTACCGAGCAAGGAGTAAAAAACACGATTCCCAGTCTCGCAACCATAGTGAAGGCAGTAAAAGGAAGAATCGTGATCACGTCGATAAACATGGCAGAACATCTAGCAACATAAGGCGCACCATCACACCAGATATATATCCTTCCCCTCAACCTGACATAAAGTTAGGAGGAAATCAATTAACAAGCTCAAGATCACCTGAACCGAAGAATAGGATTCTTTCCGCCCCAGATGACCCCATGACACTGCGGCACACAAGTAGTCAAGAAAAGCGCCTTATAAACTTAGGTCAAACTGAGGATCATAACATTCGCCGCAAATCACAATCTTCTAACACGCCAATAATACCGTTACCTGAATCTGCGGGAAAATTAACACCAGGAGGACCTGTGGTAGCAGACAAACAACAGCATGATAAGGGACATGATACAGTGGGTGCAATGCTGGAACCATTTGTCGTATCTGGACATACATCACGGCCCATGATAAATCCACACGGCGATCAAAAGAGAATTAAAGAAGGGAAAAAAATATAATTTTAAAAAGATAAAGAAATAAATATAAAGTAAAAAAAGAAAAATCTCTAACACAGACTTGACTAACTGTTCTTGTGCATTGTTTTCCATAGAAAGGAATTAAACAGAGAATAGATTAGTAGAAGTCACCACTGAATCCGTGTTATATTACTACTAACGAAAATAACTTTTAATTTCTGGTCTAGCATGGACGCTCTTATCTCAGTGAGATTATGCGGCCCATTATATGTGTCAATGCGTTTGTGAGTATACAAATAA